AATACGATGTGGAAACCTACAAGGTAACATACAACACCGTAAATATTGACGGTACGCCAACCGTGGCGAGCGGTGCGGTTTGCATTCCCATTCAACGCGACTGTGACACCCTTTCTTTAATTGCCTACTGCCACGGAACTGTTTTAGAAAAGAACGATGTACCCTCCGCCAATAACTTTGAATCAATTATTGGCAAAATATTTTCCAGCACGGGTTACGTAGTGGCCATGCCCGATTATTTAGGGCTGGGCGACAATGGCGGCTTGCATCCCTATGTGCACGCCCAGTCTGAAGCCACCGCCACGGTAGATGTTATGCGTGCGGCTCGCGAGTTGGCGGTAGCCCTGGGCGGGTCTTTGCATCTGCAGAACGAGGTTATGCTTACCGGCTATTCTCAGGGAGGGCATGCGGCCATGGCCACCGCAAAGTACATTCAAGACAGCAGCCTGTTGGGCGAGTTCAATGTACTGGCAGCCGCACCGGCTTCGGGGCCCTATGATTTGGCCGGCAGCCAGTCAGAGGTGTTTATTCAAAACGCACCTTACAGCAACCCCGGGTATGTGGTGTATCTGTTGATGGGCATGAATCGCGTGTACGGCAATATTTACAGTGATATTTCCCACATTTTAAAGGCGCCATACGATACACTCATTCCGCCCTACTTTGATGGTACCTATCCTATGGACTCGGTAAACAGCAAGCTCCCCAACCTCATTTCGGGTTTTATGGTAGATACGGTGCTGCAAAATTTTGTGGCCGATACCGTAAACAAAGCACATCCCATTTGGCAGGCCTTGCTTAAAAGCACCAACTACAACTGGAACCCTCAGTTTCCGGTACGCATGTTTTACTGCACATCTGATGAACAGGTGAGCTTTGAAAATTCACTGCGGGCAGCTGCAGCCATGCGAAGTTTTGGTGCCAATGCCGCGGCCATAAACAAGGGCAACTTCAGTCATGGCGGCTGTGTTTTCCCTTCTATTCAGGGGGCCAGCAAAGTGATTGATAGCGTAAGCAGCAGCTGCAAGCGCACGGCTATGACAATTTCAGTTTCAGAAAATACGGCAGAAAATGGGTTTGAAGTGTTCCCGAATCCCGCACAAAATGAGGTGTACTTCAAGGGACCACTAAATACGGGTACGGCCAGGCTCATTTTGCTCAACGGTGCCGGTCAGAAAATAGTTAGCAAAACCTATGAGGGCAGCTTGCGGCTGGATGTTTCCGGCCTCAAGCGGGGCATGTACATCGGTGTGATCATGCAGGGCAGGAAGCAACACATTTGCCGCATAGTCTTGCAGTAATCAGGCTTGCAATTTTTCTTTGCGCTGGTTGAGCTTGTGGTACTTCTCGGAATTCTTTTCCCAAAGTTCCATAAGCTTTTCCAGCTTTTTTTTGTCCGCCTCGTAGGCCTCATAAAAACCGGGCTCGGTGCTCAGCTCTTTGAACTTTTCCGGATCGTGTAACTGCTCGTCCAGGTCCTCCAGTTTCAGTTCTAATTGCTGTATTTGCTCCTCCAGCTCTTTAACTTCTTTCTCAGCCTTGCGTAAATCCTTATCCAACTGCTTGCGTTCCTGGTAGTCAACAGTTTCTTTGTTCGTGCTGCTTTGGGTTTTGTTCTTTGCCTTCCCGGCCGATGAATCCTGTTCTACCTGGCGGAAGTCGTCAAATTTGCGGGCTTCCAGGTATTCGTCAATATTGCCCAAAAACTCCTTCACTTTGCCGTCTCTAAACTCATAAATTTTGTCGGCCAGTTCTTGCAGAAAGTGGCGGTCGTGGCTTACCACCAAAAGGGTGCCGTCATAGTTGAGCAGTGCATTTTTGAGCATATCCTTGCTCTTCATGTCCAGGTGATTGGTTGGCTCATCCATCACCAGAAGGTTGTGGGGGTGCAAGAGCAGCTTACACAATGCTACCCGGCCCTTTTCACCGCCCGAAAGCACCTTCCCTTTTTTTTCTACGTCTTCACCGGTAAAAAGAAAGGAGCCTAAAAAATCGCGGGCCTTCTTGCGCAGATCTTCCGGGGCGGCATCTTCTATGGTTTGCAACAGGGTTTTATTCCCGTCCAGGGTTTTGGCTTGTTCCTGCGCATAATAGCCAATGTCAACATTGTGGCCAATTTCCAAATGGCCATCGTGTTGCAAGCGTTCGGCAATTATCTTCACCAAAGTAGATTTGCCCTGCCCGTTTTGCCCCACAAAGGCCACTCTTTCGTTGCGGTTTATCTCCAGGTTCACCTTTTGAAACACCTGCTTATTTTCATAGGATTTACCTACGTCATCGGCCTTAACTACCACCTTCCCGCTGCGGGGGGCAGGAGGGAAGCGAAAGTGAATTTTGCGCTTATCCGTATCGTCAAGTTCAATACGGTCCATCTTGTCTAATTTTTTAATTAGGTTTTGCGCAAAGGAAGCCTTGGAGGCCTTGTACCGAAACTTTTCAATAAGCTGTTCGGTGTGCTTAATTTCCTTTTCCTGGTTTTTTTGTTCCTGCGCCTGAATTTGAATGCGCTCGTGGCGGAGGTCAACAAAGCGCGAATAGGCCACGGGATAATCGTAAATTTTGCCGTTTACAATTTCAATGGTGCGGTTGGTTATATTGTCTAAGAAGGTTCTGTCGTGCGAAACCATTATAATCGCGCCCTCAAATTCTTTGAGGAAAGATTCCAGCCAAATAATGGAGTTAATATCCAGGTGGTTGGTTGGTTCATCCAAAAGAAGCACGTCATTTTTGGCCAAGAGCAATTTAGCCAGCTCAATACGCATGCGCCAGCCTCCGCTAAACTCGGTGGTTTGGCGCTCAAAATCATTCGGCTTAAAGCCCAGGCCCTGGAGTATTTTTTCCAATTGAGCATGATAGGTATAGCCGCCTATTAGGTTAAAGCGCTCAGTATAATGATTGAGGTCTTCAA